GCTTGTGTGCTCCGGACGACGACACACCGAGGTTCCGACGACCGCCACATGCGGGTGCAGATCGGGAAAATATGAGTTTTTTCTTTCGCGATAAAGCGGCTAAACTGCAGTATTTTCTTTCACTTGTGCCAAGATAAATGGTATAAAAAATATGAGCTACAAGTGAACGGTGAAATACACAGCGCCAAGAAAACTAAGGTCAAGAGGATGAAGTACACACACGAAGCGCGTTGCATACCTTATTTCATTTCCTGTGTTTGTGTACTTCAATTCGCCATTACCATGTACCACCAACTTGCCCAACTTTCCACCACATTACGAGCTACAAATTATTTCAATGTTAAATTCGCCGCACTGCCCCTTTGTCTAGAGGATTGGTGAGTGCCACATCATTTGCACGCTTTTGAATACTCCTCCGGGATGACCGGTCTCATCCAGTACACAATAGATAGCATAACGGAAGAACTTTGTTAAATCTCCAGCTTTGTCGATTGCCTAGCATTTAGGCGAACTGGTACCAGTGGCATAAAGAAACTCGATCTCAGATGGCCTGTCCAAAGGGAGTGACCGGAAGGTGCTCGGGGTTAGAGCACGTCGGAATGTTATAATGTTCCTCGCATGTAAACAACGTAAAATGAAGGTAGAAGACTAGGAGGAGGGAGCGGGTGTCAGATTTTTGTAATTTATTCGATCGTTGACAGTCATTGAACCATCCTCAAATGCAGTTATCCATTGCTTCAAGTGGCAGTTTGTCAGGAAATGTAACTACCTATGGGCTCGTGCTAATAGTGCAGATAATTGAATAGTATGGCAACATTTATAGCCTTCACAATGCAATAAAAAGCTATCCTACACTAGCTTGCCTTGCAGCGTTAAAGGACACATGCAAAGGGAAAAAACATTTTTTTTAAACGGCTTAGATGGAAAAAGGACGCCATAAAACAATTTTACAACGAAGAAAAAAAATTTTTAGAGCTATATTTACGGCGCAAAACGAATTTGTAGTTGGCGCCCGCTGGCACCGCGGAAAAGTGGTCTGTATTTATCACGTGACTGGTCTTTATTTATCACGTGGTGCTTGCGTTCTTTCGGAAGCTTCCTATGGCCTCTAAAAGTAACTTATTCATCTTTGTTTGAAGTATAACAAAAAACTAAGATGAATAAGTATCTTTTAAAACCCAAAGGAAACTCCTGAAAAAGCGCAAGCAGACGTGATAGACCTGTGCGCCGGCCAGACGACGGCGGCGGCGCCCCGAAGCAGACGAACTTGTGCGGCGGCGGCGACGGCGGCGTGGAGAAACCCGTTGAAGCGACGTTCGCACAACGCTCCGCGTGCGGCGGCGACGCAGCGCGGCGGCGCGCGGGCCTACCACGTGACTAGCGGCGGCTCCCGCGAGCGCCAACTACAAATTCGTATAGCGCCGTAAATATAGCTCTAAAAATTTTTTTTCTTCGTTGCAAAATCGTTTTATGACATCCTTTTTCCATCTAAGCTGTCTAAAAAAAATGTTTTTTTCCTTTGCATGTGTCCTTTAAGGATGCGAACGATGCTGCGCCATGCGATTTGAACTGCCATTTGCGCAAGCCTCAACGTAACATATCAGCCATATATCTTCGAAGGAAAGTGCAAGTAATGTTTCAAACCAACCTGTCTTGGTACTTTGACAGCAACACTTCGTCTCTGGTGAACATCAATGAAATAGTCTGTGATGGCATAGTGTCACTGACAAGGTGTGAACGGCGGGCTTCATCTGTCCTGCCTCCAGCTTTCTGCCTTCGACAGTGCTTCAGCTTCTTGTGCATCCGTAGCGTGCGCCCACGGCGGAACCACGGTGAAAAGCGTAGAGCGCGTGCTGGAAGCCAGGCATTCGGAAGACCTTTCGTTCTTACTCTGGCAGTCCCCATAGTAAAATCAACCCACACTGTCTTATCTACAGTTCACACTGGTTTTTTACACGCAAAGTATGGGAACTGGACATTAAGTGTTCCACATTCCTTGAAAGCCACTGGGAAATATTATTCCAAGGAAAAGTTCATGCTTTTACGGCATGCCACTGGTATATGAAGCCAAGTTGAAGAGGCTTATTACTGAACTTAAAAAAAAGCTTTGATTAAAGTACAGGGTGTCCCCCCCCCCCCCCCCCCCCCCCCCCCCCCAAAAAAAAATGTACAAGGTTTTTTCCGTCGCAAAAATAATCTTTGCGTCGCCGAATGCTCAATATCCGCCCAAATGTAGCACGAGTTGTCCAAACTAGATGCCAAAGTTTCGGGACTAACCAATATCTTATTCAAAAGTTATAAGTGATTTTCTTGAATCTTTTTCTAGAATGCATTCAGCTCTATTTTCTCATTGAAATTTTATGAAAATTTCAGTGGGAAAGTACAGTAAGCTTAAAAAATTACAGGAAGCTTAATAAATTCAGTAAGCTTAAAAAAAAAATCTTTTTTTAAAGCTTTCTGTTTTTTCATTTTAAAGATGACAGTGCATGCCCCTGAGCACAGTGAATCACATTTTCCAGACTGCACGAACGTGACTAGCCTAAAGCTTAGATACTGTTAGAATATACACCAACTCAACTCTCCTACGTCACGCCGCGGTGGTGGCGCGCCGGACGCACTTCCGGTCTGCGGCGGTGGGCAGAAGTCGCCGTGCCAGACATGCATTCCTGTGTTCCCTTGGAAGAAACGAGACAAAAACCTGCTTTCTCGTCAAAATGCTGCGACGGGGGTTGTACCAAAAGAGTCTGGAAAGGTTTGAAGATCAGTTTTCATGTGTTTTTGCCCTCTCCGTTCGTCCGAGAACGTGGATAGTAGCCGTGAAAAGGGCAAACCAGACGCTGTCGAACTACGATTGCGTGCGCGGGCAACACTTTGTGGTCGCCAGAAGTATTTGCTTTGTTCCAACATAAACGAGAGAAAACCTCCAAGTTGTCTGGACCACCCACGGGTTCAGTGCGTCTTCAAAGTCACACGGCCGCCTGATCGTTCGAACTTTCGTCTGCTCTTTCAAACGTCTGCTTTTTGTCGTCTGCTCGTTCAAACAAACGCGGCTCGTAGACCAAACTTTGACCCGGTGATTGCAATAAGAAGTAATTGCACACCTCAAAAGACTTAAGTAGGCTCGGTGTGAAAAGTAGATACAAGATGTTGATCATTGGTACCGGTGGTCATCACCGACTTGTTACGCTTGGTCTGTTCCCGCTTCCGATTTTCAGTATCCACGTCGATCATCGCCGCTACCTTCTACACTTTTGCAACACGAGCGACGTCGCTACCGAAAATAGCTGGAAGAATCTCATCATGGTTTTGGCGTCCATTCTGCGGCGTTCATGCGAATGAATCGCCGCACGTCACATTATTTACGGAAAGTTTAGCGGCGTAACGAGCCTTGACAATTTCGCTTAAGCGATTAAAGTGGTAAGACATTGCGATGAGGACGTAGAATCGACAATTCCAACGCGAAAAAGAGTAGACAGACTCACACAGACGCCGACAACGTGACATTCGAGTGGTTTGTTGACGCGGGACGCGGTGCTTCTTGCCCGTACCCCATTACGCATGCGTTCGAACTGTCGTCTGCTCTTTCAAACTTGGCTGCTTTTTGTCGTCAGCTCGTTCAAACGACAGCGGCCCGGAAACCAAACGTTGACCCGGTAATTGCGATAAGAACTAAGTGCAGGCCTCAAAACACTTTTGAAGGTTGGTTGGGGTAAGTAGGCTAAGTGTAAACAGATACAAGAAGATGGTTATCATTATTGTTACCAGTGGCCATCACCGACTTGTAATGCCCCATTTTACTTCCGGTTTTCAGTATCGACGTCCACCATCTCAGCTACGGTCCACGCTTTTGCAGTCCGAGCAACGTCGCGTCTGAAAACAGCGAGCATAATCTCATCGTGGGAGTCAGGCTTTAGCGCCCATTCTGCGGCGTCCACGTGAAATGAATCGGCGCACGTCACATTAGTCACGCAAAGTTTTGCCTCATTAGTTTTGCTGAAGCCGCTCAAATAGTGAGACATTGTTAGGAGGACGTAGCATCAACAATTCCAACGCGAAAAAGAGCACGGGGACTCCCACCGACGCCGACAACAACGCAATTCAATGGTTTGTTTATGGGCGACGGCGGGCTTCTTGCCCACCATCCACCGCGCATGCGCGGCGCCGGTGGCGTCCGCTAGGGGCGCTCCGGTTTGTTTGTAAACATAAGTTGGTGTATAGTGGTACAGTTATGATCAGATGAAACATTTTTGGGACTGACTGTAATTTAGAAAGTCAATAAATAATTTCCAAATTTGGTGAAAAAATTGTGTCCATTCTTTGTAACGGACACTGTATTTGACTCCATGCTGTCCGTCATTTTGCTTTTAGTTTAACGATAACTTACTAAAATTGCTTCCAACCTTTGATGCGGATATTGCTAAATGCCGAAAACTTGGCATCGCCTCAACCGCTATAACGTCTTGCCGTAGCCAGAGAAATGAGCCGCCATGTTCTCTCACCAGCCAGATAAGACCCACATGGTATTTTGCTTTTATGATAAGCACATTAGAGCACTATACCATATTTTCTGGACTATACATATTCAGAAGTTGAATTTTTGTGCTGTGCAGACACTATATACTATAAGGATTTTTTTTTTAAATATTGTTTATTATGACGAGGTGTGCAAGGTTTATTGCATGACAGCATGTGAACGATGATTTATGTAGGATACATGGCTTTGTGAGCAAGTAAAGCGAGCATTTGTCAACATGCGCTGCATACGAGAATTGTTTATGTGCAAACCAAGTAGCAAGTGCGGACTAAAAGATAACTTTTTTTTCTTTAACCAAACTTTGCTTCTCCAGAAAATAAACTAGATGTGTACTATAGTCCGGAAAACATGGTAACTAGCTCATAATCGGACGTTAGTGGCATGTTTTGGGTAACGCTTGTTCAGTTCACGCTTGCAAATGTCGTGCCAAAGGGAATCACCGACGAGCGACACTGCCCCCATGCAGTTGGGACGAGCTCGAAGGAGGTCGCCGACAGTCGTAGCGCCCGCGCTGCCACGGGGCCCGGACCGAGGCCGGTGCGAGGAGGGATGCAGATGGAGCAGTACCAGGTGGTGAGCTCGGTGGGGGCCAGCTCGTCCCAGGGCCAGTCCCTGGCAGTGGCCACGGCGGACCACCAGCAGCAGGTGGCCGTGATGCAGTCGCTGTCCGGCACCCCCATCACCCACGTCACCACACAGCCGCAGGTGAGGACGGTTCATTTCGGTGCCACTTAGCCCCTTCGCGGTCGAGTTTTAGAGTGCAGCTCTTAGGCGCCCGTTTCCGGCCTTAGTGGTGTCTCCGTAACTGCACGTTGCATTCTGGGACGTTCCCGATAATGACATGACGTGTAATGTCACGAGGGTCACCCGTGAAGGTCACGACCTTCACTGTGAAAGTCACGTGAATGTCACAACCTTCACGAGGCCTTCACGAGAGATGTCACTAGGGTCACAAGTGACGTCACGAGGGAGAAGGAGGGGGGTACCCTCCTCTCTGTACCCTCCCCTCCTCCTCCTCAGGAGCTGCGCTCTAATTCGGCATTACAGGGAATTGTAAACGTCTTTCATTTTTTTCTTTCCATAAAGTGTTTCCCAGTAATTGGGTTTTATTTCGAAAGAAACAGTTTAAATAAAGGGTCAACACATTTTTTTTTTTTCTAAGGATCCTACTGGGAGCACATGTTGTGCTTGCAAGAAGTTCAGGTTTAGAAGCATCGAGTGAAAATACTAAAGGCAAAAAGTTGTCACCTTCCTTCGATTCGGTTTCATTTTGGCGTGTCTGGTTCCACGACATTCCGTCAGTTTCGGGTTTTGAACCGGAGGTACTTTACGGAGCTTCTCCATCAGAGGGTAAGCTCTCGTCCTGTGAATTCAATTCTGAGGAGCATTAAAAGACTGAACCGAAAGAACCGGTGCTTCGATTGCCACTACCATTGGAGCAGCCGACATGCATAGCGACCATCTCATGTGCGTCATGCGTGCCGAACGTCTTAATTTAAAAACTATAAACGGTCCCTGCAAAGTCAACCACGGTGCCGCGATTATAGTTTCCTAAGACGTGACAAATAGCAACACCTCCCGTGATGTGTTTAGTTTCGCGTTTAGGTGGGCACTTTCAAACGTGAAGCTGCCGTGTACATGCGCGGCGATGACTATCAGAAGGTTAACAGCCCAGAGGCCCGTGGGATGGTATGTTTTGTCTTGCACAAAATACTTACGTGGTGCAACAATATCGTTGCCAAAAGTACAGTCAAAGGAATTAACCTCACGACGCGCTCGAGCGTATTAAATAGTCTACTAAATATTGTCGCAAGTATGGCAGAGCCAACAATGCACGCGGCTGCCGCATGGAAGGACGGGTTTAGGACCCCTGGTCAACCCGGTTTTTTCTTTTACGATTCCGTACTCTTCCAGAAAGTTCCTGCTCGTTCTCAGCTGTCACCGTGTGTTCCAGTTCGGAACATTCCCATACTTACCGCATGTCGTCCTTGGCAGCGTTCTCGAGGTTGTCCTCGAATGTGTCCTTGGCGTACTCCTAGACGTCGTCCTCGAGGATGCCCTAGATGTCGTCCTGAAGGTCGTCCTAGAAGTCGTCTTAGATGTCATCCTAGAAGTCGTCCTAGACGTCATCCTCTATGCGTTGTCCTAAAAGTTGTCCTTGAGGTCTTCCTAGACGTAGTCCTTAAGGGCGTCCTAAACGTCATCCTCTAGGCGTCGTCCTCGAGGTCGTCCTAGAAGTCATCTTTGAGGTCGTCCTAGGCGTCGTCCTCTAGTCATTGTCCTAGACGTCGTAAAAATAACAGCTTCGCTGGTCCTCCATCTTCATGTGAAGTAGAAGGGTTCTATAATTTTTTATGGTCATAACTCGAAACTACGGGCTCTAAGGATTCTAAAAAACACAAACAAAGATTACATCGATGCAGGTCCAATTTCCTCATAAAAAGCGAAATCAAAGTTTGCGACAAGCCAGTTTTTTTGCAATTTGGCACAGAAACCAAAGGGTGCCGTCGCACGTCCGGTAGTTCTCTCCGGTTTCTGCGCCGAATCGCAGAAACCTCGGCGTGTTGCAATCTTGGATCATGTTTTTAATAGGAAAATTGGAAACATATCAATCGGCGCGAAGAAGTTTTTACGAGATTTGGTTGTCGGAGGAAGAGGCAATGCTTTTGGCGTTAGGAATGTGTACGTCTTGATAAAATAACATATATCTAATCTTAGATGCACCTACATATATCTTCATTATCCACATAAAGGAGGAAATTTCTAATGCTTCCCAAGGAGCTGGACTTGTTTTACTATGGTTCTTTAGAATTCTCGGAGCCCATAGATTGGGTTATGATCATGAACAGACAAGCGTGCCGGATGACCCATTGTCGGGTGCTGTCTCCCAACCACTTCAGGTGCTCCAGATGCCCCAGGCCAACGGACAGACGCAGCTGTTGCAGGCGGGTGGCCAGCAGATCATGGTGCAGACGCTGCCCAATGGACAGACGGCTGCCATACAGATACAGGGTCAGCCGGGACAGCAGATGCCTCAGGTGAGGGAGGCGCTCTATTCATAGCCCGGGAACTCCTCCCGGCCTTGGCATAGAGAACGATGCAGAAGCCTGCGAACCTTGTAAACAATAATGTGCGTAGCTCTTAACTGTACGTAAACGGGTTACTCGGGTCTGATAACAAAGCACTGGAACCGGGGGAAAACATTAATTCCAGGCAGGGTCGGTCGAGGAAATTTGGAAGCTCGGCAAACAACCCAGTTTGAGAACCTACGATCTAGAGCACCGTAATAAATTGTAGGCTATAATGATGATGTGACAACACAGCCAGGTTTCTTTGTTTGTCTCTTGGTGGGAATCAAATCAGCAGACTTGCTCATAGCCATTGGTAACAGGCTTTAGTTGTGATTTTTCTATGGCCATTGGCGGCGTGTGCAGTCAACGAGGCACTTCTGTAGCTATCGTCATCGTCGTTTGTAGGAGAGATTGAGCAGACGGCGCAGATCCCTCGATCGATTTGCTCACTTCGTGCATTTTTTGGGTGGTGTGGCAAATCCAGTTTCACGAGCTTCCTTTATTCGGTGGAGCGATATTTGCAGTAAGACTCTTTATTCTGGCTCGAAGACGTGATATGGCGCACGTAATCCTGCTAAGCAAACACTTGTGTGGTCGAAGTGCCAAAGGGTGGGTAAAGTTTTCACTATCCCAGTACTAAAGCCCCGGATAATGAAAGTAGAATATCCGGCACTTTTAACGCAATACACCTTCTACGGTGAACGACATGTGAGTTTTCTTATTATCGGAATGAAAGAAAACTAAAGAAGGAACGTCCCATCAAGTTGAAAATGGGCAATCCAAACTCTAGCACCTCTCACATGTGAAATAAATGCTCGAATGAAAGCGACTTTCGGCATTCCCTATTGGTCCTATAGTGTTCCGTGAGCGTTGGTCTCTCATTACTGCAGTTTCTCCCTTTTTGCAAACCAGTAAACAAATGTGTCTCTGAAACAACTGGCCGGAAGAGGGTGTGGTTGGCTCCCAAAGGTTTCAGCTAAACCAATGCTTAATGCCCCTGTCGGCACAGAACCACCTCTGCAGTCACGGTCTGTACAATCTATTCTAGAAAGTCAGTGACACTTGAGTAGCCTAGAGGTGAGGCACACAGCTATGGACTACGGCCGCTCTTGTGTTTGTTTTTGCGAACCCAAAGAATCGGCAAGACATGTGGCGCACTTCTCGGCGAGATCTTTTTAAATATGTACTTCCTGAGCAAAAATTTGAGAAAACCAAGCCAATGGTCTTAATTTGTTGGGGCAAGCTTGGCAATTTACGAAGTTATCGGAACTCCGGCTTTATCTTCGAGCGGAAGTTCCAGCGTGGCAAACTCTTTGGCCACACATTCAATGTGGGAGAGTGAAAGTGCCACTGCAGAAAAACAATCTCTTAGGCTTGGTCCTTATGGTGTGGTACGAAGGTTGACCACCTACTGTCAAATTGCACTGGAACGGATGTGTCGGTGTAGGCAAGCTCCATTAGCGACGAGTGTGCAGCACCAAGCAAAGCAACGGTGTGTACATGCACAGCTTAGATGACGTCGCGTTTTACACTCTGGTGACTGCAAAACAAACTTTTCTACAGGAGCCCTCGTGGAAGCCAAACGGCATTGAAAAAAATTGTTTGTTGCGGAGATAAGTTTTATACATTATCTTTTAGGAATGACCGACCGAGTATTGAATATATTTCGAGGTAAAGCGGTGCAACGGGACCCCAAGTAAAGACGGACAGTGCACCGACTAACAACTGAAAGTTTATTTTGCTCACGCCCTGTGTATACCGTAAAATACCGGGGAAAGTGCCCACCGCTCTTTTGCTGACCGCTGGGTTAATCTGGACATGGGCGCTTGTCTGGTCAAGTCTGTAAAAGCCAAGATGGTGGCCAATAAAGAGCTTTGAAGGCAGGGCAAACGGAATCGGAAAAAGCACATTTATTTCCGCATGATTTATTTATTTATTTCAGAAACCCCTGAGGGGTTAAGGGGCATCACATCGGTGGTTTTCCTGTAAAATCAGTCCTACAAGAAATCCGTTGAAGAAATTCATACAAAAGCTGTCGAAAACACTATGAACCATCATAGCTAGAACATGTTCAGAAACAAAAAAAGCTCGAGTTACACCTAAGCATTTCTTATGAGTTGTAAATGCGAAAGCGTGCAAGTCGCTCGTCCACTCCCTTTGTCGTCTGCTGCGTACTAGTGCGCGTGCACTCTGGAATTTTGGAAGCCATGGCGCAGCGGCCAATGGGAGCCCCGTCGACGCGCACCAGCCAATGGAACTGAAGGTGATCGCGGAAACTAGGAGCCGTTTTCGCGCTACAAACTGATGACGTCGGCTCGCTCCATGAGACAGTTAATGCTTTCACATTAAAAGTCAGCTAAAAAGAGGGTTACTTCAATGCATTCAATCATACAAAAAATGCACTCAAAACTAACTACAAACTACTAAAACTAAAATTAAAATACAGAGGCAAAAACGAAATGACAAAAAGGGTAAAAAGGGGGGGGGGGGGACATTTTAGTTTTAGCTCGGAGCAGCGAGAGAACTGCATTCTGGAAAGCAGAATATACTATTATAGTGACTATGTGCGCACCTAGCGAATTCCAATCATTTATTGACAATACTGAGGGATAGAGAGTTTTGATATCTCACTCTGTGTGTGAACACTGGTAAAACCTTCGGCGTATGTTCGGTACGGGCAGAAATGCGATGCGCTGGCCGAATATGAGAAGATGCGAATTATGAGTCACCGTACTGAACATCCCAGTCATCGCTGCTGGCTGTCTCGTGGCCGCCGCAACGGGGTGATTATTTTTGACTGATGCCGGCCCTTTGCAGGGGGTGAACACTGAAAAGTATAATTTGCGAAATTACTACCAAGTATGGGAAACGTTAATGGTGGGTGCTTGTACGAAATAAGCACCACCGCGGTTTGTTACAGTGACCACATTTGGCTTTCACCCATGCGTTTATATACGGGGTGTAAGCAAAATAAACCTTGAGTTACTAGTGACCGCACTGTCTCTTATTTACTTAGTCCTTGTCCCATTGCGCTGCTTTACCGAGAAGTGTACGTCGACCAACTAACCTAAACAAACCTTGTAGCAATTGAATATAGTTTGTTGCTGGGGAAATTTAGTTGAAGCGTCGTTCGCTCCAGCGGTATTCGGCCGTATACTAAAAGCGCGACTGTAATAGACTCGTTCTTCTAATGCCACAAAGAAGCTGATTCTTGGGGGGCTGTCCTCTTCTGTCGTGCGCCTGCCGTGTACGTGACGAGCCCTACCCTTCTTTCCTTGCAGCTGCAGGTGATTCCCATTGGCCAACTTCAGGGGCAGCAGGGACAGCAGGTAATTGGTTCGCTTTCACCCTCTCTCCATAGTCAACGGCACTGCAAATTTGTCAGTCTGTCTGTTTGTGCATTTCCCCACCATATTTAGCGGGGAAGTTGACACCACGCGACAATGGGGTGTCGCACAACACCGTGTTTTGGCAGGACCACATCGAGCAATGTCGATAGATTTAGCGGCGAAATTTGCTTCACGCGACACCGCAACTCGAAACTGTTGCACACTTTCCGGTGTTGTGTGGTATCACGATGTTCCCCGCTAAGTATACACCAACTCATGTTTACAAACAAACCGGAGCGCCCCTAGCGGACGCCACCGGCGCCGCGCATGCGCGGTGGATGGTGGGCAAGAAGCCCGCCGTCGCCCATAAACAAACCATTGAATTGCGTTGTTGTCGGCGTCGGTGGGAGTCCCCGTGCTCATTTTGGCGTTGGAATTGTTGATGCTACGTCCTTTTAACAATGTCTGACTACTTGAGCGGCTTCAGCAAAACTAACGAGGCAAAACTTTGCTTGAATAATGTGGCGTGCGCCGATTCATTTCACGTGGACGCCGCAGAATGGGCGCTAAAGCCCGACTCCCACGATGAGATTCTGCTCGCTGTTCTCAGACGCGACGTTGCTCGGACTGCAAAAGCGTGGACCGTAGCTAAGATGGTGGACGTCGATACTGAAAACCGCAAGTAGAATCGGGCATTACAAGTCGGTGATGCCACTAGTAACAATAAAGATAAACATCTTCTTGTATCTGTTTACACTTAGCCTACTTACCCCAACCAACCTTCAAAAGTGTTTGGAGGCCTGCACTTAGTTCTTACTGCAATTACCGGGTCAACATTTGGTTTCCGGGCCGCTGTCGTTTGAACGAGCTGACGACAAAAAGCAGCCAGCCAAGTTTGAAAGAGCAGACGACAGTTCGAACGCATGCGTAATGGGGTACGGGCAAGAAGCACTGCCGTCCCGCGTCAACAAACCACTCGAATGTCACGTTGTCGGCGTCTGTGTGAGTCTGCCTACTCTTTTTCGGGTTGGAATTGTCGATTCTACGTCCTCATCGCAATGTCTTACCACTCTAATCGCTTAAGCGAAATTATCAAGGCTCGTTACGCCGCTAAACTTTCCCTAAATAATTTGACGTGCGGCGATTCATTCGTATGAACGCCGCAGAATGGACGCCAAAACCATGATGAGATTCTTCCAGCTATTTTCGGTAGCGACGTCGCTCGTGTTACAAAATTGTAGAAGGTAGCGGCGATGATCGACGTCGATACTGAAAATTGGAAGCGGGAACAGACCAAGCGTAACAAGTCGTTGATGACCACCGGTACCAATGATCAACACCTTGTATCTACTTTTTACACCGAGCCTACTTAAGTCTTTTGTGGTCTGCAATTACTTCGTATTGCAATCACCGGGTCAAAGTTTGGTCTACGGGCCGCTTTTGTTTGAACGAGCAGACGACAAAAAGCAGACGTTTGAAAGAGCAGACGAAAGTTCGAACGATCAGGCGGCCGTGTGAATTTGAAGACGCACTGAACCCGTGGGTGGTTCGGACAACTTGGCGGTTTCCTCTCGTTTATGTTGGAACAAAGCAAATACATCTGGCGACCACAAAGTGTTGCCCGCGCACGCAATCGTAATTCGACAGCGTCTGGTTTGCCCTTTTCACGGCTACTATCCACGTTCTCGGACGAACGGAGGGGGCAAAAACACATGAAAACTGATCTTCAAACCTTTCCAGACTCTCTTGGTACAGCCCTAGTCGCAGCATTTTTACGAGAAAGCAGGTTTTTCGTCTCGTTTCTTCCAAGGGAACACAGGAATGCATGTCTGGCACGGCGACTTCTGCCCACCACCACAGACCGGAAGTGCGTCCGGCGCGCCACCACCGCGGCGTGACGTAGGAGAGTTGAGTTGGTGTATAGATTGGAAATGAATAAACCAGATGTTCGTTAGTCCCCAAAACAACCGTTTAATGATAAAGGTGTCTGGTTTTTGTTCACCCTTGTTGCTTCGTGAATCATTCTTTGGGGACTTTGTGGACCGATGCTGCAATCTCATTGACCATAGAGTCACGATGGGGTGCTCGACACTCGCCACGCCCACATTTTTTAAGTTGTTGCCTACAGTAGAGGATCCCAGGAGGTGGGAAGAGGGAGAGCTTTTAGCGATGGGAAGAGCTGGTGTCCTCTGGGATTTGATTTAGCTGGGAAAGTTCGAGAATTGTTAGTCACTTTGAATAGAATAAAAAACCAAAGTTTCGGACATTCTTTTTTTTTTTCTACTTTTGGAACAGAGGCGAGGGAAGTTTTAGGGATTTCTGGGCTTTAGGTTATAGGGAGGAAAGGGAACTGTGCAAGAAACACACTGGAACATAAACATCTTTGACAGATCTGTCTGGTTGGGCGGCACCATAGTAATTTTAGGGCTTTGGTGGGAGTGTTTTCTTTTTTGTATTAAAAAAGGTGCCGACTTAGTGGAGTACCTCTCCTTGATGCACCTCAAAGTGCATCTTTCTGCCTTTCAGTAATCTGGTGAATTTTATTCCAACCTGCACGAATGCTTCCTCTTGTACGGCCATTCTAGATACTTTGGTTTTGTCGAATTAGTATCTTGCTAACTAAGCTAACTTAAAATTTTATTTATTTTGCAACACTGGGACCTAACAAAAGGTCATAGTAGACGAAGAAAACGAGCATTGCATACAGTAAAGACAACAGAAGGTACACACTCTACTGTGCAAACACTAACAATTGCCTGAAAAAGTTGAGACAAACCTGTCTAATATTGACAAAAACTAACTAGAAAAACTAGTTAATATATTTCCACAATAAATGGTGTAGTACATTCAAGAGATCTGCAAAGGGTAGGTTTCATTCTTGAATTCTATATTTTGCTAAATTTTGGAAAAACATTAGGATTTATTTTTTCGTCTTACGCGTTTGCAGCTCAACGAATTTTACTAGTTAAGTTACTATAAAATGATGTAAGTTGTGATAAAATGATTATAACTATGAAAAAATTGTGACTAGTATTTTGAAACTGTTAAGTATGATAAAATTATGATAAGTGATCACAGATATATGTTAATTGTGAGAAGTTATAGTAAAATCGTGCTAGTTGCAATAAGTTATAAAATTATGTTAATTAGAATCAGTTATCACAAAAGTGTGCTGATGGCGATAAGTTATCATGAAGTTATGGTGGGTTATTATAAACTATGATAAGTTACGATAAAATGATGAAAAAAGATGATGTGCTTCCTCCCTGTGTCCAGATCATCATCCAGCAGCCACAGCAGGGCCAGATTCTGCAGACGTCAGACGGTCAGACTCTGGTCTACCAGCCGGTCACCGTAGACGGAAGCAACTTTGTGCAGGGACACGGAGGTGCGTTTACGATGGCCTCATTTTTCACCCTCGGGAGCCATTTAATCTTTGCAACGTCGCCTGCTCTACCGTAACCCTTTGATTGCCAGGTGCAAATTTCAGTCCCGATAACACAGTATCGCACTTTATAAAATATATTTGCTTATCAAATACAATTTTATTTATGGGCACAACGTTAATTAACGTCTGCGTGGCTTTGACCTTAGATGGCTTTCTCAGCTCATGCCATACTTTTTGAGAAACGGTACTACGCAAAATAATACCTCAGCCTTGCAACCCGGAGGCGCTCTTTTTGGGTCGACCTCACACTTTCTTTGTTCGGAACAGAAGTTCCACATTTCCTTAGTCATTGGGCTCGGGGTTCATTAGTAATCCATAGACCTCTGTGTTTGCAATGAAGTCCGAATACAAATGGTTCCCCATTCTGGAATAACGAAGGAGCAAACCGGAAACAGAAATCGCCTAAACAAGAATTTCTACTTGCCGAAAATGGGTCACACCACGAGAGAAAAACAAATTGAACCGCATAATGAGTATATTGATACGGAGAGGAGGAAGAGCGCAACGGGCCAGCGGCCAGCAGCGTGTTCTGGCTCGCGCACTGGCCGGCGGTCAGATTAAAACCCAACGTTGAGCCACCCCGTTGGCTTCACTCCTTAGTGCGAGACTTTATATCGACGTAACATCTTTTGGTGGAGGTGCGGGGTAGGCTATGGTGCCTGTCTCGGTGTCCTTCCCATCGTTGGCACTCTTTCTGTAGCTTTGCGATGGTAGTAGGGTATTGCGAGACTAGCACTACAAATACATCGTCAGCGATTCCGTTCATGGTGTTCCCTACCTTTTCCATCTCGGGCACAGCGAGCGGTGATTGTAGACGATTGCTTCGAAGGATTGCTTCAAATATTTCAGTGTTTCAAAAAATGTTCAAGGCATGTAAAGAAAGGTGCCTCACTACTACCTAAACAGTAGAAAAGAGACTGTTCTAATCGTCGTAACCATGACCTGCACGCACAAATCGGCTCTTCTGTTTGCCTTTCCTAGACACCTCCGCACCCATATATTGCATTCTTCACACAATGATCCCACAGCTGGACATAAGGGATTCTTCAAAACACACACGCGTGTCCGAAACACTTTTTATCGGCTGGGTACGTACCGCAATATTTTCAAATAGGCCACGTCGTGCCTTGAGTGTCGACGCCGAAAACGACCTACCAACCATACCTGCCAGACTCTTGCATCTCCTCGAACTCCCCCCCCCCCCCCCATTATCTATTTGAATGTGTGAGAATTGATCTCCTTGGTCCTCTGCTTGGTGATGCATGGTCTACCCAATTATCCAAAAGAACTGTCTTTAGGAAGTTCAGCTGTTCCTTAACACCTCTGTAGGCACGCAATTGAGGGTCCCCGACGTGTTTGTCCGCTTTCAGGCATCATCCAGATTCCAGCAGCGCCGTCTGCCACCCAGCAGGTGGTGCAGACGACGCAGGGCGGTCAGCAGATCACGCTCCCTTCCTCCGTCGGCGGCGGAAACATTGTCATGGTGAGTGACCGCCTCCTCGAGCAACGTTTGGGAAAGCAAACCGTGAACGCTTCCGCTTTCTCGTTGTTTGGTTTGCAATGTGTACTACACATACGATGGAAACATTGTGTACATCTGTGTGCACATCTTAAAGGGATACTTGAACGAAATTTGAAATATTCCCGTCGTGTTAAAAAATAGGTTGAATATCATCCACAATGTCCGTAAAAGACAATCGCATGTTTGTATATTGAGCCTGGTGGCTGTATTTTTCGTTACGAACGGCCCACTCTGGCAAGCACTCGGAGAAGGCCCAGCGGAGACCACGTGACATCCAACGCAATTGTGACGTAGGTCGTCTCAGGACGAGCAAAGCTACGGCGAGGCTGACGTCGAGAGGATGGCCTAGTCGTTCCTGCCACCGAAGCGGCAGCTTTTGTACGAATTTTAAGTGACGGGTTAAGCTTCTATAATCTTCTAGGGGGACAATAGCGACTTCTGCAACACACAAAAGGCATTCTCGGGAAGACGGGAGTTCCTCGTCCCCCTCTTCTCTCGTCTTGGCAGGAGGCGAGACAGTTACCGTCACTAGCTGTCAAGGTTCCTAGACGGGCATTACAAGCGAGGCGTTAGCGACATTGACCACATGCTCTTTGCTAATCCTTTAATTAGTTTTAAAATTCATTTTGGAGACTTTTCTAACAAGATATTGGTATGTTTGATGTGATACAACTCCTTTGAACACATATAGACCAAAAAATGAGCGCCGAAATTTCGTTGTAGTATCTCTTTAAAGGGAAGCTACGGAGCTTCTTGAAAAAAATGAGTTAGAAGTGAATTCTATTGTATTGTTACCTCGTGAACCCGAATACCAAAATCATTTACTGCGCAAGTATTTTTAAACGCGGGAAAAACGCGAAAGATAGTCGCTGTACGTGACGTCATCGATGGATCTTTTGGCTTGCCAAGGCTAGGGAGGCGGGGCTTCAGCCCTATTTTCAAATTGCTCTTATGGCTCTCCGGCGCGTCGCATTGAAATATAATTGTGATATCTGTTATTCTAAAGGCCAAATGAACGCCATTCAAGCGTTTTTTCTCAAATGTAGAAGTGCCCCATCTTCCCTTTAAGGGATAAAATAGGGATCGACAGAAATCTGATTTTCAATAGATTCTAATAAAATTTGGCACATATGTTGATAAAGCCTGTGTGGTGATACAACCAAAGTATCACTTTCATATCTAAGTTACTTTTTGATTTATCAAACTTTTCTGCTTTGGTCTTTCTGGAGCCTGCAGTATTAAAAAGATACAATAGAAGGGTTGTTGTACAACGACAATATTCCCATATGTATCCTACAGAACATGACATTCTTGAATTATTTTTATTTTTGCCATAATTATTTTTAATTGAAATTTTTGTCACCTAGTTTGGACAGGAACAAAGGACATGCAGACAAAGAACCCCCTCATAAATTGGAAAATAAAATAACCTAAAAAATAGGAATGTCCTGAGCTGTAGCATAGTCCAAAGAGTATAATGAAACAAATGGAACAAAATTACTCAAAGCGGTTACCAAGATATCAGCTCCACGAGCTGAGCGGAAAGCAAAAAGTGAAGTTCAGAGGAAACGGTCTTTAATAAACTTCTAGGTTCTGCTTCGCACTTTAGAAGCTACCAGGGTTTTAGTTTTCCATGTCCTTATCAGCAAGGCCCTTCTTTGGCTTCTGACCTTTCGATTCAAGAGGCTCATCGGTGGAGGAGGTTTCCGCGTTGTCCGGTTAAAATATGACGCACTGATATTTAGTTACTCTCTCCGTGCCCGCTGGCTTGCCAGAACCCCAAGACACGTGGAAACTGCAAAAAAGGTAGACGCTTAAATATGACTGCAGGTCCCTTTTGAGAAGTCGCCGACGTCGTGTGGCCCTGTGTGACTGCCTCATTTTTTTTTTTGACGGCGGCGTTGACGTGGATTTAACCGCGCTTTTTTTTGCTTAGTGTGAATGCACCTTAAAGGGACTGCACCCATCCTCCTTGGCAGTCACACAAATGACGGCGTCTGTGCTACGTTTCTCTGGTCAGGCCTCTTCGAATGCAGTCACAGCTTTTCGGCTGTGTCTGCGCCTTCATGCGTTTCTCAATCTTGATCCAGAGTAAAGGTTTGGCACCTTGGCAATGTTGTTCCGCACGTGTTCTTACGTCTTGTCTCCTACAACTGTAAGTGGCAAAGATGGCGACGTACTGCCACGTTTTTCGTGTATCCACGTCAGAATATACGTCTACAGTGTTTGTGGGTTCAACGGTCCGAAAAATCTCAACGGGACAACATTCACCGGTGCCACTAAGCGATATAATCTATTATTATTGGAAAGCTCTTCGCTCGCTGACGCAGGTAGAGGAAACATACTGGGATTGAGATGATCGTGACTGGTTTCTCCAGCGCATGGAGGGGACGAGTTCTCAATCTCCGAATCTCGCCTAAAAAGGTTAGTGCCGACCGCGCCCCCAGGATATTTTGTATACCGCCGTGCTCGGGAAGGCCAACATTGATTAGAAACTAAGGTTGGCTGCTGCACGCGACATCTATGGGAAGTGTTTGTGCTAGGAGTCGCGCGCTTGCGATAAATGCTCGGCATTTAATTCCCGCCGGCCGTTCTCCCCAGGTGGTGCCGAACAATGCGGTGTCGGGGAACGCGGGGGGCGGTGCCGGCGGGGCGGCCACACTGCAGACGGTGCAGCGCATCCCGATTCCCGGCGCGGGGGCCACCGCCTCAGCAGCGCCAGCGGACATAGCGGAGGAAGAGCCGCTCTACGTCAACGCCAAGCAGTACCACCGCATCCTCAAGAGGAGGCAGGCACGGGCCAGACTGGAAGCGGAGGGACGCATCCCCAAGGAGCGCAGGGTGAGTGCAGTTCCCACCTTGGCCTAGACGCGGACGAACCTTCGTTTGCAGGTTGCCTCTTGTCCGTCCAGTGTGTATTAGTACCGTATTTACCCGAAAATAGGTCGACCACGAAAATAGGTCGACCCCTATTTATTGAGCCCACCGAGAATAAAAAAAAATAATTCAAATATAGGTCAACCTTTTTTTTTTTTTTTTTTTAAGGAACAGGGGAAAGTTAGGGCAAAAGAAACAAACCTTTGTTTACAGCACTCTCAGCTAAATCACAGGGCGATGTCAAAAACTTATTCATCGTCGGAACTTCGGACATATCATCGTCCGAAGCTTCGTCAGCTTGGTAGACATCCTCACAAATTGGCAACAATACCTCACTGACACCGTTGTAAAATGACGACATGAAGAAACGAAAGAAGGTGGAGACGGGCGAGCAACGAAAGACCAAATACAAAGACATGAGCAACGCTGCGAGCACCGTGAGCAACACGTGACCCGCCGAAAAAAACAAACTAAAGTACCTTCGATGTTTTTTTTTTTTTTTTTTTTTTTTGTGTGTGTGTGTGCGCGTTTGTGAGGGAGAGGAATGGAGCGCATAGGAGGGCAAAGTGCATGGCGCATCGCGTTGCTCTCCCTCCCCTTCCCCCTTGCCCAGCGAGGGGAACGCTACAGGCGTGATGGCGAAACCCGACGCCGAGGGAATGTGCGCGAGAGCCGTAGCCGGCGGCCGCGGGCTGTCGGCTGCTGCTGTTCGGTTGTGTTTGTGCATCAAAAGCTTTCTGAAACAAGAAGCCGCGCGGCTCTACCGCGACGCCGGCTAGGTGATTGATAGCTCCATACCCTCGGTAGGGTTTCAAATTTTGGTCGCGAATTAGGTCGAAATTTTTTGGTCACGATTATAGGTCGACCCTTAATTTTTGACAACATTTCCGAAAAAAAAAGGTCGACCTATATTCGAATAAATACGGTATGTGTTTTTAGCTTGTTTTGTGGTGAGGTTTCTTTGCGTTATTATGTTGCGCTGTGCGTGCCTATAGGTATCTTCTTATGCCCCAAGCTTATCGATTTACTTTTTATTGATAGTGTAGGTGCGCCGAATTCCTAAACAGGTGCGGGCAATGAATGTCGCACTCGTGAGCATTCGTACGCAGCACGCAGAAGGTAGCAAGCTCACTCAACACAAAAAGACTACATTATGCCATTCTGTGAGATGCCAAATAACGGTGCCTACAAACGTAAGTGTGCTATAATATAATGTGTCGTGGATGACTGTCATCGAGGAGAGTTTATTATGTGGTTCATTTACGTTTCCATGCACCATTATTTCGTGTCTTATAGTATATGTTGTTTTTTGTGTTATGTAAGCATCCTATCTTGCGCATGTTGCGTATGAATGCTCACCTGTGCAACATGCATTGCCCTCACAAGACAAGGTACCTACTATCAGTGACAGGTTAAGAGAACTCAACCTTTTTCCACTTTAGCAGGCCGATGTTGGAAAGGAGGTCACCTTCTCTCCAGCGTCTGCTCTGCTAAAGTGGAAAGGAATGGAAGGAGTTTCCTCCGAGCACTTAACCTGTCACCAAGTATAGGCATTCGTCGGTCTTCTTAAAAAGGCCACCTACAACTGCCCATCTGTAGTCGCTGGGAACGTACGCTCGACGTGTCGGCACTTGTTTTTCCCTTCGCTCGACTCTAGCTATGTTCGTGTAACGAGTGTGGACTTCTTTGTAGGAGTAACCGTTGGGAGGCTGATTTCTTGCAGTGTGAACCACCCTCTCGGTTGCATTACCGGTAGACCCCACCCGCAGTTGCAAGAGGCAAGATTGATTTAGGGAAGGCACTGGGGTTTGGTCGGATAGGTTGAGGGGAAGGGCAGATATTTTCCCGTACTTCCGTCAGTCCGTAAGACGGAGGAGCGTGCACTCGGTTACGAAAAAGCGCTTCCGTTGCACGGATCAGACTTTTTAGCACGATCACCGTCAAAGGACTTAGGCTTGATGTTTTGTATATTGGGTAGAGCTTAATTGCAGAAATTAGACTTTTGGTAGATGAATTTAAGCTGATGAAATGATGCGCGCACAAGGCCGCCGGTGAAGTAGCTCTCGTTGTTATTGGAATACAAAAGCAATCTACCGAAGCTTCCTATTATACCGAAACTCTGACTAGGTGGTTCAAGGTGTTGCCTGGTTTAACCCATTCAGTGTCATCGCTGTAAACACACAACTGCGATCAAGCATTTCCAAGTGCCTACCCAGATGCGAAATGGCGCGACTTTGGAAGGTGCCGCTCTCTCTTACGTCTTTGGCAGACTGTAATTGTTTTATTTATGCTGCATTTCGCTTCACCGGGGCCGTTGATAGTTCCGAAATTACACGCTGGCCCTTGAATGCTTTTCGCTTTTGGGATTTAGACTTTCCGTGCTTCTCGGAGTCGAGTTTGGAGGAGGAGGGCTCGTCATCGGACGAAGGAACTCCGTAAGAAGTAAAACTGCCAACGCGTCATGAACGCCGACGTGCCAAAACGAAACCGAGCGGAAGAAAGGCGACAACTTTCCGCCCTCAATATTTCTGTTGGGTGCTTCTCTATCTAAGCAGCTTGCAAGCACCAGTACATGCTTGCGTTGCATAATTTAAAAATAAACACGCGCGTTTACTTATTCTTTATGTTACCCCGTCAAAAAGGAAGCTCGACCGTAGGAGGGTTAAAGGGAGGCTGAAGAGGTCCTTGAATTGGTTTTGATGTAGGCCCCTTAAAATGTATGTCTCAATTTTTTTTTCCATCTTATTAGTAGGAGCGTCGTAATTGCTAATTAAAATTTCGACGCAGCCCCACCCGTTGCTGCGCGCCGAGCGTGGGAGGCTACGAAAGTGGAGAGATAAACTAACAAAAGTGATTTCAAGGGCGGGGTCAGGTCATCCTCGCTTATAACTAAGCTGGCGCGGAGATGCCGACGACGACGTCACAACGCCTTGGACAGATAATGGGCTGCAGAGAGGCTCGTTGCATGACCTGCAACAAACGCTGCACGTATCTTCCAATGTAACTGCGGTTTATATTTGCTTCTGCCCAAGATAGGTGCAATAACTGAATTCATGGGACGAAAAGCTATAGAAGTTCATTTCTAACTCGGCTTTCTTGGAAAGTGCTTCACTATCCCTTCAATGGGTCTGGCTAGAGCAACGAAGTAAGCTACGCTTCTGAGTCGCGACACCTCAGCCGCCTTGTTCGGTAGCATTGCTGCCAGTTATCTGAAGCCTTTTTGGAAATTGCAGGAAACACAGTTACGTCCTTCAGAAATGTTCAAACAGTCTGCAACAGAAAGATACGATATCAGCCAAGCTTTGGGACCGATCCAAAGCTCCGGAATTTGCGTGTCGGAATCCCAATTATCGCCAACAAACCTCTCTCCGACGTGCGCGCGATGCTCGACGCCCCTGGGTTAGAGATTGCGTGCTACCGATACAGATCCGCCACCTTGTATGTTGTACACGAGCATAGTTTACCTAACCCTTTTCGCGGGAAAGAGCCTTCTTCGTTTTGCGCGGGTCAACTTGTTTTAGACTGAGCCGTTCAGCCTCCTCAAATCTTAACACAAAACGACTTGGGCGACTATATTGACGAAAACAAGAGGATAAAGGCACTGTTTGATCGCGTGGAAGGACCGAAGCAACGACGATCGTGGCGTTGTCACTTCGTGAGCCTATCAATATAAATTGAATGCTTTGTCGTTTATTTTATCACAAATAGTTTTCGTCTGTGCGGTGACGGCTATCACCTTTTATCAAAACGACGTTTTTCTTGTCGGGCACTCGTACCGCAGCAACATGGGATCTGTTTGAAAGTGTACCGGGGTCCCGGAGGGATTTGCACGCTTTGGGGGTTAACGACTCGGTGGTCTGCCTCGAACGTGAACCAGATTTGGTCGTCCCCAAGCTATGCGAGTAGAAATCCCGGACATGCTACTAAGGTACCCAAATACCGCGGTAAAACGAGTCGGATGAGCCTCGCGAAGGCGTCGCGTTCTAGCTGTTCATTCTTGAGCCCAGGCGTCTCTATAAGTGGTAGAAGTTGGATTGCGCCTGCTCGGCACTATAGAACAAGGTGATGGTGGTGCACTCGAGACGATCGGGGAATGTAACGTCGATGGCATAGCCCTAGCAAAGTTGAGGGGCTTTAGTCGAATGTTTTTGCGCCCTAATAACCCAATAACGATGTGACGCGTGCGCATTTGCACCGGGAGAGTGTCTGAATGCAAGAATGAGCCACTAAAAGTCCCTATTAACCATTTGGCGGTTGAGTCTTTTTCTTCGGAGTTTTCCAGTGGTCAATTTTTTGTTTCCAAGGGAATTTCATAAAGAGGCGGTAATTGCGCGGGTTTTTTTCTTAATTGTCTAGTGGGAGCACATGCAGCGCTTGCTTGCTGTTCAAAGTCAGAAGTGTCGCATGGAAATATGGCAGGCAAAAAGTTGTCGTCTTTATTCCATTCGGTTTCCTTTTGGCGCGCCTGCTTTCGCGCTGTTCCGGCAGTTTGCGATTATGAGCTGGAGGTACTTTATGGAGCTTCTCCTCTGGATGGTAAGCTTTTATCCTCTGAATTCGATTCTGCGAAGTGCTAAAAGTCTGTGGCGGAAGAACCGGCACTCCAATTGCCACTACCGCCGGAGCAGCCGAGATGCAAAGCAACCACATCGGACGTATCACCTGCGCGGAGCGTCTTATTTCAAAACTATAAATAGCTCCACAGAGGTGAAACACTGCGCGAATATAACTTTTATATTTTGCAAAAGAGAACAAATAGCAACACCTCCCGCGGTGTGCATGGTTTCGTATTTAGGCGGGCACTTCCAAATGCGTAATCGCCGCCTTGGCTGTGCGGCGACGACCGTCAAAGAATTAACTAAAAGACTGGCTGGGAGCTGTAACCCGCTGTCCGGTTTAAAGGGATACTACAACGAGATTTCGGCTCTTATTTTTTGGTCTATACGTGTTCAAAGGAGCAGTATCACGTCGGACACACCAATGTCCTGTTAAAAAAGACAGAAAAGGAATTTTAAAACAAATTAAACGGTTAGCAAAGAGCACCTGGTGTATGTCGCTAACTCCTCGTTTGTAATGCCCGCCTAGGGCTCTTTACTGGCAGTGACGGTAACTGTCCTGCCTCCGGCCACCACGAGAGGAGATGAAAGAGGAACTCCCCTCTCCTCAAGAATCTCTTTTGTGTGACCAGAAGTCGCTATTGTCCCTCTATAAGATTAGAGAAGACTAACTTGTCACTCAAAATTCGTACAAAAGCAGCTGCTTTGGTGGCTGGAACGACTACAACATCCTCTCGACGTCAGCCTTGCTGCAGCTTTGCTTGCCCCGAGACGAACTACGTCGCGATTGCGGGAGATGTCACGTGCTCTTCACTGGCTGCTTTCTGAGCGCTTGCCAGGGTGAGCCGTTTATAACGAAAAATACAGCCACCAGGCCCAAAATACAAACGTGCGATTGTCATTTATAAATATTGTGGATCTTATTCAACCTATTTTTGAACACGACGGGTATATTTCAAATTTTGTTGAAGTATCCCTTTGAAGCATTTAGTACGACCCACCAGTCTCGATCATAGAGTGACACCCAGTTTAGTTTGTGGGTCGTTAGAAACAGAAGGGACAGTAGAAGATGCGACGATCGATGACCGACGTTCAACGGAGTCGTCCATTAACCTTTTGGGGTCATGTGAGTTTTCCCCTTGTCGGCCCCTCAGGTCAGAATTAGTTTATGCAAAAGTGATGCAAGCAACAAGTGACTTGAAATTTAACGTTTTTATTTTAATATAGTAATATGTTCAATTGAAAATAACTCTGCATTTTCCTGGGTGCTTTCAGTTCTTGAAATGCTAGCGGTACTTGCGCAGCGTGTGGTACTTTTCAAAGCAAGCGCCAGGGTGCAGGCCAGGTTGACAAGTGCAGGTTTTGCAGTAGAACACTGTTTCGCGCCGTTGCCCCTTGGTTTTTCTGTTCTTGCAGATGGCGCAGTCCTTGTTTTTGCTTCCATCGAGTTTATAAATAAAGTGGTTCTTTCCACTCAGTCTCTCTTCACAGTCTCCATCAGAAGAGCGCCCCCGTTTCCTTGGCTGGTTGCGGACATTTCCAACAAGGTCCTTTATCAATGCCTTCCCAAACGTGAGGTGCTGCGGTGCTTGCTCGCCTTCGCTGAGTTTTTCGAGGCAGAAGTGAATGGTAGCTGTTGACTACTCCCACTTCCAGCAACAAAAAAAATAGGCATGCGCGGTGGCGGCGGCGCATGTCTCCTCATCACTCTCGGTACTGTCACCATCACTCTCTGAGGACTCATCAGAGACTATCTCAGAGGCCTCCTTTACATCATAGGTGTCTTCTCCACTAAAATCACATTCACTGTCACTTGAGTCACAAGCCTTTCCGTAATATGCGGACGGAGTAAAGGTTGCCATGATGAACTCGTAAAAGGGCGCGCAGCATTCCCGCCCGCGCAGTTCGCAAAAAAAAAAAAAAAAAAAAAAATGTGTAGCGTCATTTGCAGCACTTTTCGAAGGTCGAAGAAGTCTAGTTTACATTCCCGATGACAGATGGCGCAAGTTGACATTGTCGGGGCGCGCCCGACACCTGACCTCAAAGGAGAAATGGGCCTGTCGGGGGAGCCCCGACATTTGACCAGAACCTGAATATTTTTTTGTCTGGGGTCACCCGACACATGACTCCAAAGGGTTAAACGTCAATCGGCGCTGGTCTTTTTTTCCTCGTCCTTTCGTGCCGCATTAACTTTGACGCGTCATTCCAAGCGCTGACTGGGTGGCACACAAGTCGTCACCCGATTCGAAGGGTTTGGCCGTGCGTGTCGGTCCAGGCCACGGAGTAACGCCCGGTCCGGCCGGCGCATCCTTTCCTTCCCGCAGAAGTACCTGCACGAGTCGCGGCACCGGCACGCCATGAACCGGATCCGGGGAGAGGGCGGCCGCTTCCACTCGGGCAGTTCGCGCAAGGACAATGGCGTGGGGTCGCCGGGTGACGGGAACAGCAACCACAACTCGGCCGACGGGTCCCAGCAGGACGACGTCTCCAACGGACTCCACGCCATGGAGGTGAGCCTTCCTGGCGCGGGGAAAAGTGGCGCCCGAAACACGCTTCGCGGACCGGCGGGGGGGACAAAGACACGAGTTGAACGTGACAAATCGTAGGCAGCGACGTCAGTGGTCTGGAGAAAAGAAAGTGATGGAAAAGTGGAAAAGGAAAGCGAACAAAATTTGGACGCGTTTGTTTTGCCGCGACAAATCGAGCCGTTCGAGGGCTTGTCCACTTAATTCCTATTTGTATAAAGTGCAACCGTAGAGTTAATCTAATAATCTAGAGGGAAAGGTCCCACTCATTGGGGCCGCTTGGGAACGTCCAGGCGCGGACGTGGGCGGTCCCAGCAGGGGTTCCCGTGGTCCCAACGGGCCCATATCGCTGGCGACGCCTTAATACGCCGACAGAAGTAGCAAAACATCACCCGTAAGGCCTCTACCTTGTTCTTTTATAGCTTACTTTGCAAGAAAACACCAGAATCGCACGTTGTATGAAACTAAATAAAGTCGACAAGCGCTCGAGCGACTTCGACTCGTGGCGGCAAAACGAGCACGCCTAACCTTTTGTCTGCTTTCTTTTTCCGCTCTTCTGTCGCTTTTTCTCTTTCTTTCTCTTGGGGTCGCCAATGTCGGCGCCCAGGATTTGCCGCATTCTGCTTTTTTCTTCACCCCCTGTGTGCGACGTTCGTGTTTTCGTGCAAACTAAAGCTAGAAAACAAGTAAGTACAGGCCTCGCAAGTAGTTTTTGGTTGCTTCATTGTGCGTACTAAAGCGTTGCTAGCAACATGCGCCCACTGCGACTGCCGACATCCGTGTCTATGAGCCGCCGTTTCGAAGTGACCGGAAGAACGAGAAAAATTGCATCGTAACGTAGGTCCTCTCGCTATATCATTCATCGAATATTGTCATAGCCAGGTTGACAATTCTTAGTCCCTCGCTTCATGCCTGTGTAGGTTTGTGTGCTCTGTCATGACTGTTGCGTATGGTCAGTGTTAGTTTTATCATTCTCAGAATTATTTTGCACCGTGCAAATGTGCCAAAATTTTCACGCGCTTCGATTAAAGGGACCATGAAATGACCTTTTTACTTTTTCCAGATAACTTTTACATTAAACTGTCAATGTTCACTGAATGCCGAACAGGCATCCGTTTTCGTCTCGGTTTATTAACTTTTACACAAAAAATTATTGAAATATCGACTTTTTCATTCTCTCCAACTGACCGCAAAAGAAGCCGTGACGTAGACCGTTTCCGGAACCGGAAGTTCTCTCGGCAGTAGGAGAATGGGAGTGTTAGCGGCAACGAGTTGGGGTGCGCCGGTAGGTTTTACTGCGCTGATGTCACCGACGTATTTCCTGAATCGGCGCCTCTCATCGCCGCATCGCAGCTGAGCGAAATTCAATGAGATATGTTGCGCTACAGCGACAGCATGGGACTAGTCCCATACGCCGGTATGCCTGTTGGGAAGTGCAGCGAGTCTTGTCACCACCCCGTCATTGTTGGCAGAAGGGCCGGCCCGTGTCAGTCGTTTGCAAAGCGACGTAGATGGCGTTTTTCGCGGCCTCGGAGATGCAGGAGCGAGCCGACGTTAAAAAAGATACGTTTGAACTACGAGTGTCAGCAAGAGCCACGTAAATACCTGCTTACACTCGGAGCGGACGCGCGCGCTTGATGGAAGTCTTGTATTCGCGCTGTTGGTAAGCGCTTCGGGACCGTTCTTTTACGATTGCAACTCGATACTGACGCGACGCTCGGCAAAGAAAGGTTGGACCGGGGTCGACAGTGACGTGCAGTCTGTCAGAATAAAAATGGCATACCAATAACAAAGTGTACATACCGTGTTACGAAGGCAATCCATACGGCGTTTATTTCAGCTCTATATCACACAAAACAAGAAGATAGAATCGACGAGAGTCCCTTTTCGACGAGTGTTCGTCAACACTGCCTCGGAAAACAAGGGGAAGAGATTGACCTCCTCACCTCTTAATCTAGAATTGAGGTCAGTGATCAAACTATAATACGGGAAGGGTCCACAAGGGTCGCGCGGGCATATTCCATTTAGCACGCCAGCCGGTCGTAGGCAGACGGTCTTGCGACGAAGCAACGCAGCGCCGAGTCGGAATGCCTGCTAGGCCTATACGCTTCGTCGGAGTCGGTGAATCCAGCGTTCTTGTTCGTCGTGGTCTGTTTTAAGTACTGTTTTCTTGCTGCTTGAAGTCGGCACGCGCGGGAAGAACACGTAGAAAAATAAACGTTCAGTCAGTCAGAGTTTTGAGAGGAAGGAAAACAAAGAAAATAAATGTTCGTCGGCCGCCGTCACCCAAGTAACTGGCGGCCCTGCCCAGAGCCTCCTAGATAAGTGTACTATGCCTGTCAGCTCCGCTTTCAGGGCGGTACACGTGCCGTGTACGGGTAAGTGGCGCCATCAAACGACTTCTGTGCTAAACCAAGGTAAGTGTAGCCAGGAGGCGCTGGTGCGGCCCGACCGCCGAACGCTTCGTCTGCTAAAACGGAATTTCGGCGCTTTCTCGGGCGGGGACGGAAACGGCGTGCAACGACTGTTAGCAGGTGAGTGACAGAATAACTCTAAATAATATAATGAACATGAACGCAAATAATCACCGCGAAGCTACCATTTAGTGCTCTCACAAGCCCGGTAAATAGCGGCGCAACTGCATGCGCGACCCCAAAACAGAGCATTCTAGACGCGAAAACGTCCTAATGTTCCGTCAAACAATTTTCCAGAGAAGTAGCGTATGTCTCAAATAATTTTATAGCACGCCTGTATAAGAAAACTACGGAATGCTATATTTTGGTGGTTCAACTGTCATTTTAAAATTGCACATATACCAGCTCGGCTCTTGAGAAAATATAAAATCTGCCATTCTCTCCCCTCGTCAAAACATCTCATGTCTTATATCGGTTTCATGTCTATGTCTCGCCTGCTTTCATCAGTTGCCAGTAGCACATAAAAAAAGAAATAATTTTCTTGGGCTTCGTACATTACCGAAATTTATACAGCGTACGTGGTCCAGATGTCAGACGAGACCTAGATAAATCTTTAAAAAATCGGATTTGCAAGCTACGACAGTGTAATTGCCCGCAGAAGTTCGGCTCGGTAGTGGATTTTATTTCTGAAAATAAAAAAAAGGACAGACTAGACCCACTCAAAAAAAACAAGCAAAGTTCTATGGGCCGACATAAGGTGAAGCCACAATCTTGTGGGCCACTGGGAAGTTTGGTAGACAAAAACGGGGGACGATATCAAGGCTGTCCCGTCCACGCTTTTGTTAAATCAAGCACCCCAATGGCCTACAACCACGGTTTCTTTTTTTTTTTTTTAGATCGAGATACGTGGTAATTTATTGATTTTCCCTTGTAACTTTTGACTGAGGGAAGTATTTTTCTTGATATTTTAAGTAACTAAATTCACCACCTAGCCGAACTTGCGTGATAAATTACAGTGTTGTAGCTCGCAAATACGAATTTTTTGCGATTTATTTAGGTCTCATCTGACACGTAGACCACATATCAGTATGAGGATTAATTTAGCTTTATTACAGATGTGGTGACATTTCGTATTTTTAGAAGCCTGTTTGGAGCGAAAATGGTGCATATATCAGTACTGGTACGTGCTAGGCATCATTTACATAGTATCTCCATAGGCAGGTCATCATATTGAAATAAATCAGCGTCATTTAGCGCTAGCATACTTGCTAATATATATGACTACAAACACATATACGTGCCGAAAAACAAACTCCTGGGAGATAGTTTAAGGAAGTGGTCCAGTAGCTAACACGTTACCATTCTGAAAAATCAACCGAGAAAATCCAGCTTGAGTTTCGAAGCATTTATTCACAAACATATGTGTACTTCGCAAGTGGTGTTAAATAAACCATTATAAAACAAAAGAATACTGACACCCCCCAAATTTTTTTTTTTTTTTATTTTTTGCCAGGCGATTTATTATGGCATCAGAAGACTATCGAATCAATATGTTGCTACAGCGTCACGTATATTTTTAATAAAGTAAAAAAAAAAAAACGCAACTGCTTGAAACCGAAACCGAAACTGGACTGGGGAGTCTAGAAGTTTTTGTGCGACACAAGGGACAATAAGTGAGTAGACACGGACAAGCCCCTCTGCTTCCTTCTGTCGCGCAAACACTACTAAACTGCACCATGAAGCAACTAGGCCAACAAGTTTTAATGAACTGGGGAGGAAGAAGAAATATAGGAAGAGGAGAGAGGTGGCTGTGATACTTCTTTCCCCCTTAAAACAACGTATTTGCAGCTTTTTAGAAGCCACAAATAATGGGCATCATATGTCTTTTCCATTTCTAATATTGTGTGCCTGCCTTCGATGACGTACGACTCTGATCTTTGGTGGTTGTGTCTAAACCATAAAAAACGGCATATGGCCACAGAGAAGAGAGTAAAAGCGCGACTCAAACCGGCCAGTTCTCGATCGGAAAGAAAACAAATTTTGAGCAGCGAATCGTTTTCCGGGTAGTTGGGCTCTCATATGTAATGTACAAATAAAAACCTTGGCAAGCATAAATACACTGTCAGTGTCCCTTTAAACCTGCAATAGGTTCTGCGTTTTTGAATAAAGCCAATAAAAACCAGAAAACACTTGCCGATAAAAAATTTTGTTATTTATAAATTTTGTCAAGTTAGATTTGTCGTAAAAACTCGAAATTTTTTGGGTCTGCCAGCTTTAATAAACCCAACAGGCCTTTATATCACCGTGGTTCCGCGAGCCAGCTTACGATTCACTTCGTTTTTAGTGTCAATTTCCAATTGTAGGTGTCACAAAATTGCTGTTTAGTCTTTTGTAATAAAAATAAGCTAGCCTCCCTACAACCACAATCGAATATGTTTCACACATGAAAAGGCTCCTTTACTAAATTTGGAAACTGCTGCTTTCTACCTTTCATTCACTTCGGCTAGAAAAGCCACTCTGAATTTCAGGTACCACAAACTAAAACTCCGAAAAACTCTGCATGCATTTTGC